ATTCATCTCACCTGCGTTGAATGAATGAGCTTGACTAATGGTCGAGGGTCGAGGGTTGAGGGTAATAGGTCGAGGGCGAGGGTAGAATGTCGAGGGTCGAAAAAAATGTCGAGGGTCAATTTTTTAATTTGACTCTATAATTTGTTCGCAAATTTTTAGTAACAGAATAAAATACTTACCATTGCACATACGTATCACAATTAATTAATTTGCTTTAGCCCAACGTCAATGTTTTATCCCTATTATGGAATTTGCCATGGCGCAGAGTAAGTATGCTTCGCTATTAAACGCAAAGTTTAGTTTGAACAAACAGATGTGTTTTATACGCCGATGTATACTAACGAATAATCCCTATTTTGATCATTATGAAGTTAATAACTGATCAAATTTCGATCGCTGCAGTCAAAAGGCGCCGCTTCACATGCTATTTGATAAACATAACATAACCCTTTGCGACCTTTGTGCACTCATGATTTCAGCAATCATTACGATCCACAAAAGCGATATATATTTCTGTATAGCTATGTTTCCAGCATGATCTAGAAACCCACGACTAAACACTAATGTCATATAAAATAATTTGTAAAGCCGTGATTTTCTAACTATCAGTATTTTCTGCGTCGTGGCAAACGTTAACAGACGGCCAATTGTCTTATGTGCATGCGGCTACGGCAGCAAATATTTTTCGCACAGATTATTTTCCGCTCATGTTGTAATTTCTTGCGCCTATGGCTCCTATCGTCTGCGCGAATTTGATTACTGCGCGAATTTGAATACAAGTATTACTCCATGCATGGCTGGGGAATATAAAACCGGAAAATATTTCAACATTAATTTTTATTAATAGTGATATTTTCCTGGGTTAGTTATGCCTCATCGGCGCAACAAATTCGCAGCAAAATGAAAAATAACACTGACACGTCGAAGTGTCACCCCGGATGCCAGGATTTGCTTTCAGTTCTGGATCAAAACTTGCGAGAAATTGTCATTCGAACCTTACTTGCGATTAAACTTTGGTTAACGCATACACGTGCAGACGAGCTTTCTCTTAAAAACGTCTTCAGTTGCCGCATTGCTGTAGGGTATAAAACTTGTGTGGAATGGAAGTACTTCAAAGCAGAATAGAAGAGGCTGGACTAAAGATTTCGTATGATCCTCCCGGCGATGATGGGCTATGTTTTTATTCGGCTGCTGGCTTTCAGTTGGGGTTGTCTTCCAGGACTGTGCAGAATATAGTGTTTGAGTACTTGGAGAGTAACCGTTATGATGTAAGTATAGCAATTTTCTTTGATCCTAAGATTTAGTTTGATGATGTGATAAAAATGTGACTGTATTGCCTCGCTGTTAAGTTGTTAACTCAGGAAGCCCCAGTCGCATATATATTTCAGATGAGTTGTAAAATTATCTGTGACTGTGCGAAAAATGTTTGCTGCCGTAGGCATGCACATAAGACAATTGGCTGTCTGTCAACGTTTGCCACGATGCAGAAAATATTGATAGTTAGAAAATCACGGCTTTACAAATTATTTTATACGTGATATACGACATTAGTGTTTAGTCGTGGGTTTCTAGATCATGCGGGAAACATACCTATACAGTACTATATATTGCTTTTGTGGATCGTAATGATTGCTGAAATCATGAGTGCACAAAGGTCGCAAAGGGTTATGTTATGTTTATCAAATGGCATGTGAAGCGGCGCCTTTTGACTGCAGCGATCGAAATTTGATCAGTTAACTTCATAATGTTGATAATGATCAAATTAGGGTTTATTCGTTACTTAGTATACATCGGCGTATAAAACATATCTGTTTGTTCAAACTAAACTTTGCGTTTAATAGCGAAGCATACTTACTCTGCGCCATGGCAAATTCCATAATAGGGATAAAACATTGACGTTGGGCTAAAGCAAGTTAATTAAGTGTGATACGTATGTGTAATGGTAAGCATTTGATTATGTTACTAAAAATTTGCGAACAAATCATAGAGTCAAAAAATTGACCCTCGACTTTTTTTTTCGACCCTCGACATTTTTTTCGACCCTCGACATTCTACCCTCGCCCTACCATTCTACCTTCGCCCCCCAAGGAGATTCGCCCCCCCTCTCAAAAGGGGGGCGATATTCCTAGGATATTCGCCCCCCCGGGGCGAATCTCCTAGGAATATCGCCCCCCAGGGGGCGAATCTCCTAGGAATATCGCCCCCCTTTAGGAATTTCGCCCCCCATATAAATTTTGAATTTTTGATCTAAAAACAAAACGATTGCAAGTTGAAAAGATTTATTGTGTGATTTATTTATTTATTACAAGGAGACAAAATCACATACACATTTTAGGCTTCTTAGCAGCTGGTGGTGTGCACAGTCTACATAACCACTCATTTGAGGTACTTAACTAGTGTCATATTCTACACATCTAAAGTGGAACCATTGCCCACAGAGATCTCATAAAATCATGTTGTCGTATTCTTCTGGCAGTTACATTCACATAACATATTATAAAAACAATCGCTTGCAAATTTTATCAATACCAATGTTAACAATAGCCGCCACATTAATCACTTCCATGCTAACAATAAACTATAGGATTAATAAAAAATCTATGGAATTTGTTGGGAAGCGTATTGACTATTGTCCATTGAATCGTCAACTTTCCATGTCAGTGTCAGTGATGTAATCTTGATTTTTAACTTCCGCAAAGAAAATTGCATTATATATATGTGGTGTGGTTTATTCAAATAATTTCATGTTTCATGATACTTTGATTTTATCAGTGCCTTAAACTCTGCAAAACTAAAAGCTTTTTTGTCTTTTTTGAACGTATATTATTGGAGTATTGCTTATTGGCAAGTTCTATCTTCGCTTCTGAAATTTACAAACTATATTGAAATAATGCAAGTAAAAAATAGTGACAACTTGTAAGCCATACATTTTCCGATAACGACAAAATGTGGATGCAAAACAATACCAATAATGACAATAACCACCACGGTGATTACTTTTTAACAATGAGTTTAACGATTAACACTGAAAATGCAAAATATGCCTGGTGTGCTGTGAAGCGTCATAAGTCTTAGTCTATTAACTGTGAACTGTGTAAGCCCTTTCGATACATGTAATTGTAAATTTGTATTCTTACAGGGCTTGAAATAACGTTCCCAAAGTTCTCGATCATGACTTTCCCTGATTTTTTCAGGTTGGAAACCGAAACCCTGCTTTTCCGCGGATCATAATCAATTCCATGCCGATCATTGATCGGTTGTTATTTCAAGCTCTGTCTTAACAATTTTGAATTGATATTGATACTGATTTCAAATGACTAAAGCCATGTAATAATTATCCCATGCAACTGTTAGGAAGGTCGAACTTCTGAACGGAGGACAAAAATCCTAAAGAAAAGGTGAAGTTTCTAAAGGGGGGCGAATTTCCTAAAGGGGGGCGAATTTCCTAGGATTTTCGCCCCCCAGGGGGGGCGATATTCCTAGGAATTTCGCCCCCCGGGGGGCGAAATTGTAGGGGGGGCGAAAATCCTGGGACACCGGTTCAAATGTCTCACCTATGGAACTACGTATACGGAAAAAAACGCTTGACTGGAAAATTGGAAATCAGCCTTAAAGTCACACTATTGCGTATCGTACTAGCGTATGCCAGCATATGAAAAATATCACTCGTACGCCGGTATACGCTGACATACGCTAGGGGTACTTTAAGCATAGCTTGTATACGTTTCAAGCACGGTCGCATACGGCGGCATACGGCGAGGCAGAATTTTTTTTTAAGAATGTTCAAAAATTTTGTGCGTATCAAACGTATGCTTTATACGATAAGCATACTCTAGGCACACGCTGAATACACTAGAGGTTCGCCAGATGTACGGTACTCATACGCTGGCATTTCAAAGGATTTTTGTGCGTATAGAAATTATTTCATTAATTTTCATACGCTTCTCATACGTTTCTCTCATACGCAATAGTGTGACAGCTAGGGCCTTTAGCCGCGTATGGGGCTTATATTTCCCAATCCAGTCGTTCTGGACTCGATCTTTATTGTTCGAAGACATAACGTTCACATGAAAGTAAATTAGTTATGGATTAAATTTCCATAATATTAACCTGACATTGCTCTACAGTTAGTGCCGCTCGCCTATATCTCAAAGGCCCCCCCTTACGAAAATTTCCTATAGGAATTCCTATAGGAAATCAAAATTCCTATAGGAATTCCTATAGGAATTGAAAATTCCTATAGGAATTCCTATATGAATTGAAAATTCCTATAGGAATTGAAATTTCCTATAGGAATTCCTATAGGCATTGAAAATTCCTATAGGAATTCCTATAGGAATTGAAATTTCCTATAGGAATTCCTATTGGCATTGAAATTTCCTATAGGAATTCCTATAGGCATTGAAAATTCCTATAGGAATTCCTATAGGAATTGAAATTTCCTATAGGAATTCCTATTGGCATTGAAATTTCCTATAGGAATTCCTATAGGCATTGAAAATTCCTATAGGAATTCCTATAGGAATTAAAATTTCCTCTAGGAATTCCTATAGGCATTGAAAATTCCTATAGGAATTCCTATAGGAATGGAAAATGGCTATAGGAATTCCTATAGGAAATGAAAATTCCTATAGGATTTGAAAATGGTGAAAAAAAATCCTATAGGAAATAAAAATTCCTATAGGAATTCTTATAGGATTGGAAAATGGTGGGAAAAATTCATAGCCTATACCACTATGGCCTGATACATGCATGGGTATAAGAACTTTACTTATATAAAAAAATATACAGATAAATATAATTTACAAAATAACTCCTTCCTACAGGAATTTTTATTTCTTAAGGAATTTTTTCACCATTATCATATCCTATAAGAATTCTTATAGGAATTTTAATTTCTTATACAACTACACTATTCCTATATCGTATTTTACTCATAGACATTTATTAATAGAGAATTTAATACTGGGACTATTTATTTTCTAAGATTAAATGAATAATTATTAATTACCGCAATGTGCGCGACTGACAGACTGGTGTCTAGTTTCCTTGCCACGCGCGCAAGGCATCAAGGGATAGATCCAGAGCTTCCACTCGGAAGGAAATTTCCTTCCAAAAGGATATTTTGGCATTTGGAAGGAAAAATAAAAGGAAATAAGATTTGGAAGGAAATTGGAAGGAAATTCGGCCATTTCGAAGGAAAAGGGAAGGAAATTTTACAATTTAAACTTTTTCAGCAATTTCTAGCAATTTAATAATGGTTTAACACTTTATTATGAACTTTTGAGTTCAAAAACATTTATAAAAATAATACTTCGGATATTTACATATAAACCATCAAGGATGAATGGGGGTAATCTGGGACTTAATTAAAACAGGTCTTCAGTGAGCTGTGAGTGAGTAGAGTACTTGTACATAAATGGCTCAATTTTTTCGCGGGTTTTTAATTTTTCATAAGAATTATAACCCAAAATTAAAAAACAAACAGTCGGAAAAAGGGAAACTGTAATTTGTAAACAAAAAAAAGTAATTTATATATTATGATGGCTCATATTGAGTCGTTGAGTCGACATCTAGTCAGGCTCATCAGAAGATGAAGCTTCAAGTAGTTTCCAAATGCAAACGGAGTAGAAAGCGTGCAGGACAAGTGCCTGGTCCAAAAGCAATTTCGTAAAAAAGTCGTTTAAGTACTATGTCGTTCGAGAAAACAGACAAAAAATGAGACAACAGAACATGTTTTTTCAGGATTAGAGATTCACTATTTGAATACTGCAGTACACCTTCAATTCACATCGGGAGTACGGTACAATACAAAATTTACTATACTATTTTAAACTGACATTGGAAGGAAAAGTGGAAGGAAATTTAGAATTTTGGGAAGGAAATTTTGCGAAAAAAAAGGACAAAAACGAGAAATTTTGCTTTGCCAAAGTGGAAGCACTGGATAGATCATCACACCTCCGATATTTTTTCAAGTCAGTGTTTGTCAATGGTTTATGTGCAAAATAGAACTATTTTTGATGGGATTCAACTGGATTTTCACTAGTAATACATCAGGGATGTTTGCATAATGTTCAGGTAAGAATAAGTTTATATTTTATTTATAATAAAGCAAATTATAAAGGAAATACCTCCAATCTTCTTTTGTGAAATTCGAGCATGTGGTTCGATAAAATTTGAATTTGCCGCGACAATATAAACGGAATTAGAATGCTGATATAAATATATTTATAGCGTTTATACTTCAACAAATGCTACTATAAAAGTTTTATATTTGAATCAGACTTATCCATGTTTATAATTTAATATATTTGTATATCCCAAGTGCCAACTGCATATGCCAGATTAATTGTAAATTGTCAGCCATATTTAATGCATGCCTATAGAAAATTTAACTACTTGCTCAAATCAGCAGCAGTATTTATTCATATGTTTTGTTTAAATTAAACAATTTTCATTTTGAGAGGTCTTGCACCAGTCAATGTATTAAAATCTGTTAGCCTTTAGACATGCTTTAGTGTAATGCCAGGAAAATTATCCATGTTTTTCTATTAATTAAACATAACTATGTGATGGTATTCAAATTAACCAGACTCTGCTAGCTTACATTTCATGCTAACTTGTTAAGATGAATGTGCTCAACTTTCAGTACTTTTTTATTTTACCTTGTCTAACACCAGATCATTTTACTTGAAAGAGAGTGGACAACTTTGATAGGTTACCTTGCTGTCTCCCTGTGTTTTGTGTAAACTCATTAAGACACAATTCACAAATTCACACTAATGTGCTCTATTTCAAAGCTCAATATTTTGCCCTGTTAATACCAGACTATTTTGCATTATTTGGCGTTAGCACATTTAGATGCAATTCATCCTAACAATCAATCCCCACTTTCAGTACTTTGATATTTATCAGATTATTTTACTCATCAAAATGAATGTTGGTCATTGAAAGGTTAATAATTAACTGCAAAAGCTGCTGTGTGGCATATTTAGAAGCAATGTGCCCTACTTTTAGCCCTACTTTTAGTACTAATTTGTTATTTTACTGTGTTTATTCTATTAAAGTGCTAGACTCTCCACTTAGAGTAAAATAATAAATTGGGTGCATTTGGGCATATTTAATGGGTTAACAAAACACATTGGAATGGTATGCATAAAATAAATGTATTTGTCTTTTTACAGCTATCAACAAAGTATGGATGTAAGGCCTCAGAGGTTCGTCAACATATGAGGACAAATATAAACAAGATGGGAAAGTGTTGCAAAGTACAGTTCTAAAAGCAAACAAGAACAAGAACTTATTTGAGGACTATGTTTTGAGGCCAGTTTTAAACTTAACTTTAAATGTCAATTATGGTTATTACCTATGGTTTAGCCCATTAAGTGCCAGCGCTCTGACGAGTAAAATCGTCTGGCGTTAGACAGAGTAAACTATAGTAAAATAATAAAGTAAGGCGCATCAGGGCGCAATGTGATTCAATTGGTTAACTAGACACATATATAGGAATATAGGCTAGTTAACCCATTCGGAGCCAGCATTTCCCCTTGACATTCAAGTACAATTATCTGGAGTTAGACAGAGTAAAATAGTCTGGCATTAGACAAAGTAAAATAGTTAGACAGAGTAAAATAATAAAGTAGGACGCATCATATGGCATTGCATTGAGGTAGAACGATTAATTTGGCATAATAGGTGAAAACTATAATTGATTTGTAATGTTTGGTATAACCAATTTCTCATATTAATTTTTATATTTGCAATATTAATTAGTATTTATTAGTATTTATATCTATTTTTTGCATTAAAAAATTAAGAGTGATGAACAACATTGTCTGTCATTTACTATTATTTCATCTAGATTCTAGAATTTCTGCAGGAATACCAAAAATCTTATAGGAAATTAGAATAAATTATTTTCTTATAGGAAATTCCTATAATAATTTGGACTAGACTTGAGAATTCTTATAGGAATTCTTCCTATTAAATTCTTATAGGAATTCCTGTAGAAAAAATTCCTATAGGAATTTTTCCTATAGGAATTCCTATAGGAAAAATTCCTATAGGAATTCCTGTAGAAAAAATTCCTATAGGAAAAATTCCTATAAGAATTTGGGACAAAATTCCTATAGGAATTTTTCCTATAGGAATTTTTCCTATAGGAATTCCTATAGGAAAAATTCCTATAGGAATTTTGTCCCAAATTCTTATAGGAATTTTTCCTATAGGAATTCCTATAGGAAATTTTCGTAAGGGCCGTCACACTATTGCATATCGTGCTAGCGTATGCCAGCATATGAAAAATATCACTCATACGCTGGTATACGCTGACAAGGGAACGTTAGGCATAGGTTGTATACGTTTCAAGCACGGTTGCATACGGTGGCATACGGCGAGGCCCGGCGAGACAGAAACATTTTTTAAGCATGCTTAAGAATTTTGTGCGTATCGCGGACCGATGGTTTATACGATAAGCATACTCATATAGTATTGAAAGATAAGTATTGAAAGATAAGTATTACTCATATAGTATTGTACGATAAGCATACTCATATAAGCATACTCATATAGTATTGATAGGGGTAAAGTGTCAATTGGGACGCAAGTCCTGTTCTTTTCTCCAGTCACGTCTATGTTTAGTGTGTTATCTTGTAAGAATGTTGTGTTAGTGTTGCTTGTTTGCTAGTA